GAAAGAATTGATTATGATGAGATGTTTGTTCGAATGTTTCTCAAAGTAGCTGCAGTAAAAAGATAGGAAATTCACCAAATGAAAGTCTATAATGCTTTCTTACATGGTGATCTTCAAGAAGAGGTGTACATAGAATGTTTTTCGGGCTTGTCACTGATGATATATCGAAAGTGTTTAGATTGAGGTAACCATTGTATGGACTCCGCCACGTACCAAGATGATTCTCTAAAGTAACTGATCCATTAAGAGGATATGACTTTGTTCAAAAGAAACCAGATTATTAGTTGTTTACATTGGTGTGTGGTTCTACAAAACTTTATATTTTCATTGATGTGGATGATTTGTTACTTGGAGGTAGTGATTCTGTTGCTATTGCAAAATTTAAAAGCTGTCTTAACCAATCCTTTCACATGAAGGACTTGGAGCCATTGAACATTTTCTTGGCATTGAAGTTTCAAGATCACTTGAAAGGATTTACTTATCGCAGCGAAAGTATGCATTATATATTATCAAAGAGTGTAGTTTGTTGGGAAGTAAACATGTTTCCACTCCTATGAAACAGAATCATAAGTTGGCCAAAGATGAAGAGAAATTAATTTCATGATCCGGAAAAGTATAGAAGACTCGTCAGTCGCCTACATTGTGACAAAAAAAAAAACGGTTTTTCATATTGCAGCTAATTTTGTATTTCATGAGGAGATAAAACATATTGAATCTGATTTGTCATTTTGTCTAAATTGAAATATAGAATGGGTCTTTTGCTACCTCTCATATCTGCACCACAGAGCAACTAGCAAATATCTTTACTAAAACGTTAAGGTCTCAACAGTTTACTTATCTTAAACGCAAGTTGAACATTCGTAATATACATGCTCTAACTTTGAGAGGAGTATAAAGTATATTTCCATATCTCTTATTATGTTAATATTCCTATTAGCATAGATTCGTATCTAGTAAAACCCTAAGTCGTGTACAAGTATACAAACTCTTTCATATGGAATAAGCACGACAGCTATTCTCTTCTCTTTGGCAGGTGTCTTCACTTGTATTTATCTTCTTCTACTTATAAAAAAGAGTTTCGGTAAACAACCCATTAGCCAATAAAATGGATTTTGCAGTAAACGAATTAAAAAAGATGAGAGTGCACGGTGCACCAACATGTTTGTCCATACTATTGACAGTTTGTGTGTTTCAGCTCTCCTTTTTATTTTGAAAATTTTCCATCGTTTTGTCTTTTTTTTGTTTGACAATCGATGCGACTGGTGATTTGAGATTGTTTAGAGGTGACTGAGATAGCAAGTTCTTGACAATGTGACAGATGTTTTTATTATGTTTAAAATTGTCATTCTGTAACGGTTTTTGATTTTAGTCATCTTGAGGTATATTTAAGAGACGATGTCGTGTGGTTATATAGCTCGACTCCTTTCAAGTTAGTTTTCGTCGCCCAACATCTTGCCACTCGTGAATTTCTTCTTCTAGTTGTGCATGGTCTTCATCGCGTAGTTCGTGTATTTCAACTCTCTCCTTTTAGAAAGCCATTATATTTTTTTTTGGCAATTGTTTTAAAAATAATAACTCCGGTTGAGGATTGCATTCCCGGAATATTTTTTCGTGGATCCTAATCAGAATAGTGTTGTCACTGTGTGTCTTAGATTTTGTATGTTTCAGTGACTTTGTTGTAAGTTTGGGTTATCGTTGTAAATATTTTTTTTTAGACTTTGTTTTACTCGTGTGGGACTTTTAGGCATTCAACTTTTATAATATTTTGGAGAAGTTTAACATAATTTCAGAACAAAAATTATTAGTAATTCGATGACTTTGTAAATCAATTTCGTTACCAATCATTACAACTATATATAATTTTCCATTATTAACATAAATCTTATTTTTGTTATAATTTATACAAATCATTATTATTTTCTATTATAATTTATATGAGATATGATTATATATTCACTTTTATCAATTTTACAATTTTGCAAATATAATGATATTTTACAAGATTTAAAATAATGAATTTTGTAACAAGTTGTTATTTTTAATTTCTTTTATTCAATCTTCAATTTTTTTTTCTTAAGTATATACCATTCACAATTGCTGATTAATAATAACCAATAGGTTAATTAGTGTTGTTTATATGTTTCTTTAGTTTTTATAGTCTTAATTTGTTAATATAGCTAAAATTTTAGATTTTGTATGTAAAAGTGAATAAATAAAAAATTTGTAATCTTTTAAAGTAATAAATTGTTAATTTTAATTTCTCTTATTCAATTTTCAAATTTTTTTCTTGAATATATACCATTCACAATTGCTTATTAATAATAACCAATAGGTTAATTAGTGCTATTCTGATATGTTTCTATAGTTTTTATAGTCTCATTTTGTCAATATAGCTAATATCTTAGATTTGGTATGTAAAAGTGAATAAATAACAATTTTGTATTCTTTTAAAGTATATGAGCATTTAGTGTGGAAGGGAAGAGAAAGCATGCATGGGCTGTGACATGAATAATAGTGACATTGTATAGCTTCTTAGAGTGAAACAACTAGCTGAAACCTAAGCTGAACAGGATGATAAATAATACAATTTGATGGAGAAAAAAACAAAAATTAAATGAAAAATGTTGAAATTGGTGAGAAATAGAAAAAAGTCAAAATAAATTAAAAACAGACAAAAGCAAAAATGTTTTGTGCTTGTTCTATTTCCAAGTTACTGCAGCATCAATTTGTAATTCCCCATGTATTTCTAGGAACTGCATTTGCCATATTTTTTTAATTTAAATATTTCTATTCTAAATAACTATAAATTTATATGAATAAGATAAAAGATCTAAACTAATTTCTAAATCTAAACTAGATTTAAGAATTATCAAATAAGTAATCTAAATTAAAATAAAAAAGTAAAAATCAATTGGTTAGTTTTTAAAGAAAAAAATCTCCATTAACATCTTTGAAGATCTTATCCACATTATGGATATCTATAGTTTAGATTGCTTTTTTGGTGTGTGGATTCTTTAGTTTAGGGTATATATAATCATCGAGTATATCTCAAGTTTGTTTAGATGATGACCTTTAAATATTTCAACTTATATCCATGCTGGCTAATATATAGACTAAATCAATATAATAATTATAAGTATACACGAAATAAAAGAACACTCATAGGTGGGAAAATAAATTTAAATAACTATTACATGAAAATTCTCAAAAATATTAGAATAGTACAATACCAAAAAATCATTCGATAAGATATTGTTAACGTTATCTTCTAAATAATACCTTTTTTATAGAAGAAAAAAAAACTATTTTGATATGTACAAACGTTCTAAAGAACAGATATTTGGTAAAAGTAATTCATTTTTGTATTCTTTTTTTTTTGTAACTGCATAAAAAAAATTTATATTTTTTTAAAACTTTGGAATATTCTTTTGTTACACTTAAAATTTGAAAACCTTTTAGATCATATTGGCATTTTTCAATATAAGGATTTCCCTTCTTATCTTTTGTTTGCACGCTATATATAGCACAGTAGCATTTAGTTTTCCTAGACCGTTTATACCATACAATCGCTACTCTGTTTCTGAAAGTATTGGGGTCTAAGAGGATGTATTGTGATAAGACTGTTATAAACGGATACAATTAAATATGACTAGCTTTTATTTTCAGCTTTCCGGTTCTTTAAACACAAATAGGCAAACACAAATTGGTAAACTGGTGTGTTCCAAGTTCAACGACGGAGTTTTGTATGAAATCTTAAGAAATGTTTCTCTTTTTCTTTTCTGCTGATAATCTTAAGAAATATTCGTTTACAAACAAAATTAAATTTGAATCTTATCCTTAATTTAGCTGTCAAAAGATTAATGTTTATCTGAACCATTGATAGAAATACTTTTCTCTTTCATAAGAAATTACATAATATGATTATTGTAAATTTTCTAAATATTAATTTTCTTATCAAAGAATTTCAAATGAGGGAAATAAAAAGACAAACAGCAAATAACAGATTAAATTCTTTTTTTTTTTAAAAAAAAATTACCCTTTCTGTTAAGTTGAATGTCTTATTTTATTAAAATTTTACGCAGATGCATACAAAAACATTTTGATTATTTTTTATTTTGAAATGGTTCTGCCAAAGTAGTTTAAAAAATATAATTCCTGATTATTTTACATGTCTAAATATCATATTTTCTTATATTTTTAATAAGATTAAAAAACAAAACACGTATTGAAATCTTATAAATTAAAAGGCTGTCTTACTACATGTGTAAATCTCATGAGTTATAATATTACCACGTGTTGACTTAAATAAAGTTAATTTAACTTTTACATAATAATTTTAAAAGTTTATATTGGTTTATATGAACTGTAAAGACGAGATACATGGAAATAAATCTGTTTATTTTATATTCTCTTAAAATTAGAATATTCTTTTGTAAGCCTTTTGATTTTATTTGCATTTTAGTTTTCCTAGATCCTCTTTGAACTTTGGGGGATACTTTAATTAAGATTATTCTAAAACTGTTACAAATAAATGTGATAACGATTAGCTTTTATTTTAAGCCTTCCAAATAACAAGACTGTGATGTAAATTTGTATTTTCTTATAAGATATAATAAAAAGAAAAAGTATATCATAGGACGACATGCTAAAAAAACTAATGAAAAACTTCGATAATATCGTGGACTACTCTTTAGGCCGAAACCTCATAAACCGATTTTTAAGGTAATTTGTTAGTAAACTGGAAAATTTTAGTTGACTATGAATATAAAATGAATGTATAGTAATATCTTTATTTCTAAATAACATATTGTCACCATATATATTATGAGTGTGGGGATGTGTGGTTAGAGACTGAAACCATTCTTCTACCAAAAACGTTTTTTCCACCTTTTCAACTCTTCTTCTTCATCTTCTTTCTCTCTTCATGCGAAATCACAGTTACAAATAAACAGAAAATTGAGATAATTATAAAACGGTTATCGAAACACAAAGAGACAAAAATGAGTGACGGTCGAGTCAACGCAGATCAAGAACAAGAACAAAACATGGTCAAACCACCGGTCAAGAGATCTCTCGGCCTCCTCATCGCCACCTACAGTTGTCTCTTCGTCGGCTCTATCGGCTCGAGCCTCCTCTCGAAATACTACTTCGTCCACCATGGCAAGAGCTTGTGGGTCTCCACGTGGGTCCAATCCGCCGGATTCCCTCTCCTCCTCTTCCTAATCTATTTCCCTCACTTCGTCTTCAAAACAACCACGCGCCGTCCATTCACGCGCTTCACGCGCCGCCATCTCCTCGCCGGCGTCTTGATCGGGTTCGTCCTCGGTTTCAACAACTTCCTCTTCTCATGGGGAAACTCGTACCTTCCGGTGTCCACGTCATCGCTTCTCCTCTCGACACAACTCATTTTCACTCTCCTCTTGGCCGTAGTCATAGTGAAACAGAAAGTCACTTTCTCAAATCTCAATTGCGTTGTTCTCTTAACGCTAAGCTCTGTTTTGTTAGCTCTCGGTTCGAGTCAAGATAAACCGGCCGGTTTAACCAAATCCAAATATTTCACCGGGTTTTTAGCCACCATCGGAGCCGGTTTACTCTTTGCGCTTTACCTCCCCGTTACGGAGAGGGTTTACCGGAGCTTTTACTGTTATGCGATGGTCATGGAGATGCAACTGGTGATGGAATTTTCAGCGACGGTTTTCGCGACGATCGGTATGGCTTCCGAAGGCGGGTTTAAAGAAATGGTTCATGAAGCGAACCATGTTTTCACCAAAGGACCGACGGTTTACTGGACCGTTGCGATTTTAGTGACTGTGGTGATGTGGCAGCTCTGTTTCGCCGCCACGTCGGGGATGGTTTATTTGACGTCTGGGATCACCGGAGGGATCTGCATGACGGCGTTGCTGGCGACCAATGTGATCGGCGGTGTGGTGGTTTACGGCGATAAATTCAGCGGAGTGAAGATTGTATCGACGGTGCTCTGTATCTGGGGATTCTCGTCGTACGTCTACGGGCTCTATATAAAGATGAAGAAGAATGAGAAGAAGGAGAAGGAGGAGAAAGCGAAGGCTGGATACGCCGGTGTAGATACGGTGGAAGACGGCGGAGATGCGGTAGTGGTGGAGGTGGAAATGGGTAAGGTTAAAGATGACGTGGCGGCGGCGGATGATAGGGTTTGATGATATCTGTGTGATTGAGATGGCCGTTATGATTAGTAGGAAGCAAAACAAAAAAAAAAGTTTTATCTTTTTGTGTTCTTTCTTTTTCTCGCTTTTTTTTTTCTCTAAGTAATGCATTTGCTTTTTTTTAGGTTGTTTTGTGTTTCCTTTTTTAGTTATTTTTATGAATTATCTTATCAATGGACACAACTCAACTAATTTATGTACACTTTATAGTGTGTGGATTTTCCGATGTCGGTCGACGGTCGATAAGCATCTCTTTATTATTCTAATTATATATTTAGACTATTTCCAGTGTATTTTTTTTATTTTCTACTCCAAAATAAAATTGTATTTTGCTTCAATGTATTTTTCTATTTTTTATTCTAAAAAAATATTTTAAATAGATTATTTGATTTTATTATAAATACATTTAAATTTTAAAATTTTAAAATAAATTTCACTTATTTTATTATTTACAATTTCTTTCAAAAACTATAACTTAAATATTTATCAAATAATAAAAATTACATAACATCACAAAAAAGCATATGCAATTTTTATTTAAATATTACTATTATTAAATTTTTTTATTATTAATTTTTTTCTATTTGTTGTCTTAAATTTATTTATATTGTTTATCTTAATTTCAGTATTTATTATGTATTTTAAAGTTTATTATATTTTGTAATTTTAAGAATAATTGCAGTGTTTAAATATTTATAATTATCAGTTTATAATATTTTTTTATAAATATTAAATAGTATAAAGTATAATTATTTTAAATCTAAAGAATTAATTTGTAAATAAAAAAATCTAACTCCAAAATGGAATATAGTTTAAATGTATTTTAGAATTTAAGTTTACTCCATTTTGAAGTTAAAAATGGAGTAGGGTTAGAGAGAATTTTATTCCAAAATAGCATTTGTAATTGAAAATGGAGTAAGATTAAAGATACTCTTACGTATTATTTCAATTTGGTATTGTACTATTAACATTTTCTTTTAGTTGGCAACTAGTATATTACTTAAATTTTATTAAAAAGGTTCATTTGACAGAACAAAATCATGATGTATGTAAAGCAAAAAAAATTAAAATCTTAGTTGAAAATTTCGTTTGAGGAATATCACGTTCTCGATACTTAGGGATAAGAGTTTAATCAAATAAGTCAGCATTTAGTAGTTATAGAAAGTTAGTAACAGCAGTCAACAACTCATTAATTCCGATTTTTTTCATCAATTGCCATTGTTTCAAATAATCCCAAACTTCTACATTTTTAGCACTTAATTTGTTTTCTTTCTAATAGCTCAAATGATCCCAAACTTTAACAATTTTAGCACTTAATTTGCTCTCTATTTATATTTGCAAAATGATAACTAGAGTTATACTTAGAATTTTTTGTTGACCATAAACTTGCTCTTTGTCTCTTTTGCCGTGCATGTTTTGCATTTTGTTTGAGCGTTATGCAATAAATGAGTTTCTTGTGAGCTAGTAATATTTAAATCTATAAATGTGCGAAACTGTGTGTATACAAAACAAATTTCAAAATACATATTACACCCAATAACATGGAAAACATTTTTTTTTTAAAAGTAGTTGTCGTTTATGAGACACAACATACCCAAAAATAAAAGGAGAGTGCTCACGATCTCTAAGATTCCAATTAAAAAAAAGATTAATGATGATCATGATGGTTAATTAGAGAGAGTTAAGAAAATAAAAATTGAATGGGGAAATAAAGAAGAGACATGCTTAATTGGTGATGATGCAGCTTGGCATTAACTCGGTGTAGATTACGAACATTGTCTCCTTAATGCTCCTTTAGTCTTTGTATTTTTCTTTGAGCACTTTCAAATGAAAAAGATTGTTTTCTTATTATCCTTCTTTTAAATATGGCTTATATACATGGCTCTTCACTAATATTGTAAAAATGTAAACCCTTGTGAATTTCTTAGAGCCCACAAAATCCAAAAATTTGTTGCTTTTGATTCAAGGACAAATTAAATCGAAGTTATGACCCCAATGTAGGGTTATGCATGTTTCCATGACGTGTTTTAAACACGGCTCTACAATGCACACATATCGCTTAATATATCATAATCCCACTTATATAAGAAAAACGAATTTTCATAATTGTATAGTATTATCAACTAATTAACAACAATTACAAAAAGAAAAACAAATTAAAGAAGCAAATTCGTATGCTATGAAATCATACAGGTAGATTACGTACTTGTATCAGTGGTAAAGAATAAGTACGTAAGCAATGTATTTGTAAAGATAATTGAAAAAAATTGTTAAAAAAATGTAAATAGGTAAACTAAATCATAGAGGTGTCAATTGTAATGTAGATCAAGCCTGTATACGTTGGAAAAAGCATGAAAACTCGTCGATCCATATTTGCGGATGTTAGAAAAGTGTTAAATAAAGTAGATTTTTTATAAAGTTTAGTAATATAGATTATCTCGTTGGATAAATGGAATATTTTCGAAAGAGCTGAGAATACAGTGAATGAACTTTTGGGGTGATTAAAAAATGGGGGCATGATTAGCGTAGCGAAAGTGCGAATGTAATGAATTACGCCATTAAGCACAAAAAGTTAAAGAGGAGTTAACTAAATCGAGACTTACGATTTAAAAAGTACTTGTTGTTGATATACATATACAGTATATCTATATATGGCTATATTAATTGAAAATTCGAGAGTGCCATTTTGGTAGACGGTTTTAGGTTTAGGCATTAGAAAGAGATTATATAGATCACAGATTTGAGGTGTAGTTAAGAGGTTCACACGTCTATTTTCGTACCAAATTACATCAAAGCTCAGACTAAGGCTGTGCCTAATTAAGAACCTTCATTAGATATACAGATGGAGGCTATGGGTCCGTTGCTTTTAAAAGATCTATACATTTCCAAGATTTATATATATAGGGTTTGGATTGGTTGGTATATGTAGTAATGTGGACCATCTGAATAATATTTAACTCCAAGATTTCTATTGGTTAAACATTACAAAACCTGTAGAATCGTTTTTTATAATAATAATCTATAGAATAGTATGATAGAATGATTAATAAGAGAACGAACAACTTTATAACAAAGAACTGCAGAATTTTGTTTAGTTATACTTTTTATATCATTTTACGAAAGCGTAGAAATGATAAATCTAACCGAACTTTGATCTCGTTGGATTGACCACGTACATTTTATAACTCCTGAATCTACACAATACATATATGAGGTAATCATTCACTATTTACACCAATCGTCCACAATATCTTGATAATCTGTTAACTTAATGAAAAGGTTAGGTATAGATGCTGTTGCTAGTTCAAAGAAGGTTTTATGGTTTGTCAGATAAATACAAAAAGAAGGCAAGCGAAAGTTCCATAATCCAATTAGATTACAGAAATACGAATTAACGTTTTTAATACACAAGTAGTTTTATAATTGGACGAAAATAAGTAGTCCTATAGCATCCCCTTTAAGCAAATAGCTAAACTAAAATACAGATATAAATATTACCTACATAGGACCGTAGCCAATTATCTTGGACCTCTAAAGCAAAGCCTGCCGCCTTCTTTCTTTCCTTACATGGAATTTTTATAACTTTAAAAATGTAATTAAAAGTGGATATTCGTAATGCCCATCGCGACTAGAGATGCAAATAAGAACAATCATTATAAATATTTTGACTTAGAAATATATATGCTTCCAATGATGAAATGATTATGTGGAAGACATACTAAGGCTTTTCACTTTTCACCAACTACTCTTCATTATTCCCCCACCTCTTGTCTAATATTATTGGCATCACCAATATCTAACTTTTTGTGTTTTATTTTTTCCATTCATATTCTTCTTATACACGATCAAGAAAACTCGATTTTGAATTAATTATTTCCAAAGAATACAACCTAAAGTACTATATCATATATGAAGTCGTGTTTTAAAAGTTAGTCCATGAATGTGTACTGAAAAAGGATGATCGATATGTTTTTTCTTCAAAAATAGAAAATAGTTACTTTTAGAGTTGTCTTACGCATCCTAATTTTCGTTTTCACAACTTTTGCGTCCTAATTAGAACTTGATAAAATAATCTTCGATGGCTTAAGTATATGATGGAACTTGGAAGTGCACATATATAATATATAAGTTTCAAAATATGTGTCTCGTTACGAATACCAAATATCGTTAACTTGACTGATAAAGAATTTTCAACAAAATTAATGTTGAAAACCAAAACAAAAATTTAAGCAAAGCTTAAAGATTGTATGATTGAGTGATTCTTGAGATAAAGCTAATATTACATATTATGGATATTGTGATTTTGAGTTTGAAGAAATTATAGACTTCGGCTCAGAACCTTCTGCTAATTTAAAAAAAAAAAATTATGTTACAGAGCTATATTTCAGCCACGTATTAACAAAGAGTCCAGGACTTGTTTCATCGCGACCTACTTTCGTATCTCAAAACGAATGTTTCATGACTTCTACAGCTTGATTGACAAATAATTATAGGCCATATGTGCATATACATACAGATACGGCCCATATAGTATTGGGTGTTATAATGGGCCTAAATGAGCTCGATTTGTGAAATATATTCAGATTTATTTCAATTTTGCCTATTTTCTTCTCCTTGTCTTTCCAATTTCAGATTTGATACTCTCCATTTTTATGCTTACGGATACGAAAGGGGAAATCTCGGAAAATCAAAGGTATGTCAAGTGATTGATTATAACCAAAGAAACTTACGAAATCGCTTCAATTTCTCTAAATGCTAAAACTTTATTAAACCAATTTGATTGAATTTATGCATTTTTTTGTTTGTGTGAAAACCTCACAAGGTTGATCCATGGCTGATGTACAGTTGAAGAATAGAGGCTACATCTGGGCAGTTTCTGCTGGGTTCAACGCAGCTCTTGCCGCCATCTCTGCAAAGTTCTTCTCATCTCTGGTAAAAATTGACATTTTCTAAATCTCCAACACTAATCTTTTAAAATCTTAGCTACTAATTACATCCCAATTCCATTTCTTTTACGGTTATGTCTACTGTTCTTTTGATGATTTCTTTAAAAAATACTGATATCTTTAGTGTTTCTTTCAAACAATCCTCTTACAAGATTTAATGGGATTTTTTTTGTTGTTGTTGCTCTTTGATCAAATAATTGAAAAGGTTACATCTTTACAGGTGATTAAGTATGGATTAGTTGTGTTCTGCAATGTGGTTATGTGGGGATGTTATGTAAACAGCTTAAGAGCTCTCTCATCGTTACAAGCCACAGTCACAAACTTTGCTGCTAATTTCCTCTCTTCCGGTTTAGCTGGCCTCTTCCTGTTTCAGGAATCCTTATCATTCCGTGTAAGTTTCTGATCCTGGAAATACGTTTTACGTTATGCTTTATTGGCTGTATATATCTATAGATGTCGAACTCTGTACTATTGTAGATGACACAGACACCACTTGTTAAGTTGTAATGATGAAGTGATAGTTGGCTTTATAAGTTGAATGAGTTTGGCTGATAGATTCCGATTCTATTGGCAGTGGTTTACGGGAGCTTTATCGATCACCATTGGAGTTGTTATCCTCAGTAAGTCAAGTGTTGATAAGAAAGTTAGCTCGGATTAATTCAAGAACTTGTATAATGCAAGCGTTTAGAGATGTTTTAAGTTGTTCTTAGTTATGGAGTTAAAAGATGTTTGTTAATCTTTTACATTATGCATTTTTTGTATGCTTTCTCCTTATTTCATTCTTTCTCACGCACAAGCTTTTTGTTCGTACTGTATAATAGTTTTACTTATTACATATACTTCATAAATGAGTTTATCATCATCGTTCAAGATTCGATAAATATGCAAATTGCAAGATAGACATCAACTTTCACTCTTCACAAATGATATCAAACATAAGAAGCGAGCAAAACATATTTTTTGGAAGTTGCTAATCTTTGCAAGTAGATGAACTCTTTGCGGTCAGTGCTGACTTTGACTCAATGGACCTCATTAGAGGAACATTCACAAATCACAAAGGTATATTTATAAACTCATGTCACAAATACGTGCAAACCATTTTGTCTGTCTCCATCAAACATCCTAAAATTGAAAAATCAAATCCTTTTTCTATCTATAATCCACATTTTTATTTTAAGATCCTCGCATCTATACTCACACATGATGAATCATGACATTAACCACACATGTCAAAATCTTAGGGACAGAGATATAGAACCGACAAACATGTAAGTCACTACTTTCTCCACGCGGCCATGAACGTGCTTCCCATTTTCTTTATTTTTCATCCTACTACTTATATTTCTGTCCTCTGCATATTTTTTACCCGGAAATATACAATACAAAAAACCCATCATCTCTAAAAATTAAAGTCTCACCTTTTCTTTGTTTTCGTTGACAAATCTAGTTATGCCTCCTCCGGCAATGATTGCGTTTGATGATTGTTTCGCCGAGAAATCTAGCGATAACGAGTGGAAGGGCTTCACGGTTTTCTCCGGAGAAAGCCCTAGCCCTAACCCTAATTTAAGTTCCTTGGTGAAGAAGGCAGTTGTACAGAGCGAGAAGTCAACCAGTCCTATTCTCCCCCGTTCTTCGGTAAAAGACGACAGTTTCAGAATGGTATTGCCTCCGGCTATGCCTCCGCCTAGAGACTCTGCCGTTCCGCTTCCTATGCTCCCGGAGCCGATGAGAATCCGGAAGAAACTTAGCCACCAAGAATCAATTATTTTTATGAGGAAGTCTCGTTACTCTGAGAAAATCCTCTACAAGGAAGAAGATTTCAAATGTAACGCCTTCTGCTTGTCTCTACCTGGATTCGGGAAACAAAAGCCGGTTACATCTTCTTCGAAACGCCAAGATTCGATGGAGAAGAAGATGATCAGAACGTCTTCCTTCACGAACTCGACTGTTTCGATACGCGCCTCGCTCGAGAAGTTCGAATGCGGTTCTTGGGCATCGACGACGGCTCTGACGCAAGATAACAGTCGTTTGTTTTTCGACTTCCCGGTGGAGATGATGAAGTGCAGCAGCCGCGGAGGCGGAAACGGAGGAAGAGATGTTCAAGAACCGGTGACTTCTGGTTTCCTGTTCGATAGAGAAACAGAGACTTTGGCTCTGAGAAGCGTTTTAAAGACGAGGAGTTCAAGGTCGTCGGGAAGAGATCACCAAAGATCAGCTGAGACTTCACCGCAACGCCGTGTGAGATTTTCGACTTCTTCTTCGTCGGCTTCGGTTTCTTGCCCTACTTCGCCGCGATCTTGTATCACTCCACGATTACGTAAGGCTAGGGAAGATTTTAACACCTTCTTATCCGCTCAAAACGTTTGAGTAAGGAAAAAAAAAAAAAAAGCAACCAAAACTTTTTTTATATGAAAAAATATGTTATCTATATATAATATATGTATGTATGTAATGTAATGTATCTACGGATACTGTGTAAATATCTATGAAGAGAGAGAGAAAGAAAGAGAGAGATGTTGAATCTTTGAGAAATTAAAGTCGATGAAATTTTTTATGATAATCAAAATTTTCATGTTTGCATCCGAAGCTCTGTTTCAGACCTTAACCTCTATTTTTTTAAGAGAAATTACTTAGAATGACTCAAATTTAGCATTTTATTATTACACTAACTCTTAATTGACAAGTTTACTAGAATAATTCTAATTTTAATTAAAAAGTCCTTTAACCTATTGATTAATATTTGTTCTATAATATTGCCATTTATCTTTAATATATATTACTAATATTCATAATATATATATAATTAAAGAAGACAATAAAATGATAGATCTAATAAAACTGTGACTCTAAATAAACTTGTCGATTAGGGAAAAAAAAAGTTCTTCTCTTCTTCAATGACTCCGATATTCGGAGGAGAAAATACCTCCGACGATTCCGACATTTGTCGACCTAGCCACTACCGCCTCTTCGTCCGATGACTTTGTTGCCTGGATTCCAATCTATTTTCCTCTTACTACTATCTCTCGCCTCTTTTGATTTCCTCCTGCTAAGTTCTTCTCTCGCCTTTACTTCGACCACATCGCCTGCTTTGACGAATCGCAAATGTTCCTCTTTTGTGGAGTTTTTGTGGTATGTGAATTGAATTTTGTTTCTCTTCTCCCTCAATTGATTTTTTTTGTCTCTTCTCCGTCAATTGATTCTTTTTCTCTTTTCCGTCAATTGTTTTTTTAAAACAAATTCGTACATTACATTTTCTTATATTCTACGCCAATTGAATATGTTTTAACTATATACTTGGTTTGAAGTAATTATAGCTGAAAAAGTTTGTTTTGAACTTGTTTTACTCATTGACAAAACTCTAATTTTGAAGTTCTGTTTTCTTTTTTTAGACATGGCGTCTTCAAGTGGTAGAAGAAAGTACCCTCAGCTTCAATTCGAAAAAGGAAAAGCACCTATTCAAAGAAAGAGCACCAATCACAACTGTTACATGAGCAAATTCTCAATAGTAAAAGAAGAAGTTGAAGAAGATGTATGGAATGCCATAAGAGATTCATCGGTTGGAGTCTTTATTAGGTTTCATGAAATAGATTATATCTGGTCCGCGAGGACTGTCCATTACTTATTAACAAATCAGTTGGAAGTAAAGAAGAATCAGGAAATCTGGCCGCTCATTGATGGACAACCGATAAGGTTTTCTTTGTATGCATTTGCAGAGATTACTGGTCTGAATTGCGATCCATTTGACGATCAAGACAACTGGGATGTCGACCATAGATAGTTTTGGAGCGAGCTAGAAGTTTCTGCAGGGCATGGACCTTCACTAAATGAGCTGAAATTGGTTGTGAATAGATGCAGGGCCTGGAGTTTCGCCAAGAGAAGAATGGTCGGGCTGTTGTGTGTTTTGTCAGTTGCAGTATTTGGTATTTCTCTTGCTAGTAGAATCCCTTTGGAATGTGCCAAAGTTATGGATCCAGATATCTTCGATAGGTACCCTTGGGGTCGAGTGGGTTTTAAAAATCTGATAGATTCGATTAAAGTGGTCACTTATGGAGAAAACAACACATACATAATTCGAGGGTGTATTCATGTTTTGTTCATATGGGCTTATGAGTCAATACATTGTCTAGGAACAGAGTATGAGAAGAAGAAAGAAGGGCAAGAAGTTCATCTGGTTTCATGGGGCGGATCACGTAAGCGAATCAACTTTGATGTCTTGTTTGCCAAGGAGAAAAGAGCTTACGATAAGGTATGCTTTCTAACTATGTTTAATAGTTGGATTATTTTATACGTACGCTGAGTTGTTTGACAATTATGCTGAGTTATATATATGTTTTGATGTGTCATTGTTGTTTAACATGGCTACTCGATATTAATTGTTTAGGTGCGTGTGAGGCATTTGATTGTAAAGCGAGAAGAAGAGATATATCCTAAGTGGATTGAGGACAATTTGATCAAGGATATTATTCATGACCGGTTTGATACAACTGCTTGGGATGTCACTGTAGCGAAATATCGAAATACAATTTTGAGAAAAAGGAAGTAGATGTCATGAAGAATGATGATGATAATGGAGCTGAGACGTATACACATCAAAAGAAGAAACCATCATTTAAAGCTGAAAAAACTTCAAAGGTGAATAAAATATTCAAATTATCTTTTTTAACATTAAATCTTTGTGTCAAATACAAGTAGGACTTGTTTTTCTCACACCCTTTGGAAATTTAATGTGTGTAGGCTACTGAGAAGGACAGTGGCAACAAGGAGAGTCCGACGCCAAATGATGATCAAAATTCAGTCTCCGGACTTGTGAATTTAGTGCATATACTAATTCAAAAAGTGAAATCTATGGAAACCAACATTGTGACTAAAGTGGATGCTATAATTGATGCTAAAGTTGGAATAAAATTTCTATGCTCGAAAAGGGTGTTAGACAACTACAAAAACATCTCGAACGTGGTGCCACTAAGGAAGATGCAACATCTAATGATCATGTAGATGAGGATGTGACAAGTAAATCTCTGGTACGTTAGAAATTTTGAAAATATGTAGTCTGATATGCTGTTTTGTGAATGGCCGTTTGAATGTGGTGACATGTAGTTAGTGAAACTTTTGTTCTAGTCTATTAGTAGTTACTGAAACTTTTGTTGTAGCCTTTGAATGTGGTCACATGTAACGATTTGTATGATGTTAGTTAATTAAGCTCATAATTAGTTTTTGGATTTGGTTATCTGGTTAAAAATGTGTTTATGAGTTTTATAAATGATTTCGGTCTTTCATTATTTATTCAACGATTTTCCATGTTTTCTTTTCATCAGTCGTGGATAGTAATAAAAGCTACATCCCAAGACGATCTCCCTAGTAGCTGCGTTGTGAAGAATGTGAACAAAGCGACGGATCAAGTAAAGAAGAATGGTGAAAAACAACAGCTTAAGAAGATTGCTGTTTAGAAGAGTGGTGATAAGAAACAAGATGCGAAGATTGCTGTTAAGAAGAAGAATGGTGTTGAACAACCACATAAGAAGATTGGAGATAAGGGTGTGATGGCTCAATCAATTTCAACAGAATCAGACACTGAGATCCAGGAGAAAAAACAGAAACTTGATAATCTGTTTGGAGCACTAGGACACGGCCTCAGACGTTTGAATGGTAATGCAGCTGGTCATAAAAAAAAATTGACTGCGGCATTGCAGCCCATTCACGGGGAGCTCAAATATCAAGCGTATCGTCAAAAACGTGTCCTCTTCAGCTACAAGCTACGATTCGTTTGCCAAAGTGGAAGAGAGTAAAGTGCGTAAATTGATGAATTTTATTGACCTTAAAGAGTATGTGATCCTTTCCTCTTTCCTACATTGCATTATTATTCTATATACGAACAATGTTATTAATGATCTTGCAAATGTTTTTGGGGGCCAACCTCTACGGGTCAGCAATTTAAGCTTTGAATTTTATGATGTTATTATTACTCCCAGGAAAGATTGGCCTGAACTAACCTACGGCTAGTTGGGTGGTTCGGTTAGTAATGCTCTTCTCTTGTTTTAATACATTGGATTTGTTGTCTTAATATGAGTCTTCGTTTTCATTCTCTTTTTTTTTCCAGCAAATGAATTCTGCAATGCATATATTCCATATAAGGTCTTTTTCTGACCCATATCCTTATCGTTCTACAAGGATTGCATTTCTGGACCATTGGTTTGTCAGCGCTTGGGTTCTTGATTACAATGACTACGATCCCAAGAACTGGACTATTTTCCAGCAAATATTTGGAAATGTTCGATGGTGAATATCTTTTTGGAGCAGTGACAAACATGAAGTGGTTTATTGATGTCGATCACTTGTATGTCTGCCATTTCGTAAAAGGAGATCATTGGGTAGCGTTGGACATTAACTTGTCGAGTGGGAAGATTTATGTCTACGACAACATATACAATCATTGTGATGACAAGACTATTACTGATTCATGTCGACCATTCGCTGTAATGATTCCTGCATTACTTAACTCCATGGTTCCTCCTAATATTAGGAAGAAGAGCGTGAGGCAGTTTAGTGTCTGCAGGAAGAAAGGGATCCCACAAAATGAAGACCCTGGTGATTGTGGTGTTTATACATTGAAGTACATCAAGTGTCTTGCTCTTGGGTGTACATTTGAGGGTCTAAACGATAAAAACATTCCGCAAATCCGTTTGAAACTAGCAGCTGAGATATATGACGAGGTGGAAGATCTTCGGTGATGATCGTGGTGATATGGTCTCTCTTTGGTGATGATCATGGTGATACGGTGTTTTCTCTTACTTGTTTCAGTTTATATAGCGTGATGATTGTGCTGACATAGTCACTATTTGTATTTCATCGTATAGACATGGTGTTTTGTTTCTCTTTTCATATGTAGCGTACACATGTTTTGTAGTGACTATTAAAGATTTTTTTTATCCAAATAGTCAGATTATGTATAGAAATCGTTTGAAAGAACCAAAATATGTTCTGAATCTCTGCAACACAGTAACCAAACAGTGTCCATGATGGCGTTTTTGGAGAAGGATTTCAGCAACACGAGAAGGACTCAGACTACAAATAAGATGTGTCTATATAGATCCCGCTTCATAGAATTATAGGAATTTAGCGGTGCATCAATCGGAGTTATAAATCATCCACAAATCGCATCGAAAGTTCGCCCAAAATCATTATTTTCACAGATTTCTTTTAAAATGCAGGTTTTTCAGAAATCGTTTAGGGGACTAAAACTAGTCCGATGAAGCTAATATTTGGTGGATTTTATTACAGTATATTGGTCTTCATATTTAACGGTGAGATTGCAGAGTTAACAGTTAGTTTGTGATTTATAGTTGTTTTTATGAGTATGCTTGGCAATGTGTAAAACAAAAGTCATTCTGGTTTTCTTTAGCTCACGATGATATATTTTGAACTCTCGATTACTAAATCAATATCTCACATCTCATCCTTTATCAAAGTATCCTGATAATGAAAATAAGTCGTTTGAAAGAACCAAAGCATGTTCTGAATCTCTGCAACACAGTAACCAAACAGTGTCTGTGATAGCATTTTTGGAGAAGGATTTCGGCAACATTAGAAGGACTCAGACTCCAAATAATATGTTCCTATACAGATCTTGCTTCATATAATTGTAGGGATTTAACGGTGCATCAATCGCAGTTATAAATCATCCACAAATCGCATCGAAAGTTGGCCCGAAATCATTATTTTCACAGATTTCTATTAAAATGCTAGTTTTTCAGAAATCGTTTAGGAGACTAAAACTAGTCTGATGAAGCTAATATTTGGTGGAGTTTATGACAGTATATTGGTCTTCATATTTAACGGTGGGATTGCAGATGTAACGGTTAGTTTGTGATTTATAGTTGCTTTTATGAGTATGCTTGGCAATGTGTAAAACAAAAGTCATTCTGGTTTTCTTTAGCTCATGATGATATATTTTGAACTCTCGACTACTAAATCAATATCTCAAATCTCATCATTTACCCAAGTATCCAGATTATAAAAATAAATCGTTTGAAACAACCAAAACATGTTCTGAATCTCTGCAACACAGTAACCAAACAGTGTATGTGATGGCATTTTTGGAGAAAGATTTCGGTAACATGAGAAGGACTCAGACTACAAATAAGATGTCTCTATACAGATCTTGCTTCATAGAATTGTAGGGATTTAACGGTGCATCAATCGGAGTTATAAATCATCCACAAATCGCATCGAAATTTGGCCCAAAATCATTATTTTCACAGATTTCTATTAAAAACAGTTTTACAGAAGGTTTTTCAGAAATCGTTTAGAGGACTAAAACTAGTCTGATGAAGCTAATATTTGGTGGAGTTTATGACAGTATATTGGTCTTCATATTGAAAAGCCAAAGAGTCTATAATTACTCAAAACAAGTACCACCAGCAAGACAAATCATCAATTGTACACAAGTCTACCTAAAAACAAGTCTACCTCAAAACAAGTCCCATTAAGCTAATTTTAATCAAATTTAAAAGCAACAATGAGCATGTCTTACAATTATGACCTACTTGATTACATATCGAACAAGCGTGTTGTTTTCTTGGCTTTTTTTTTATCTCCGGCCTTCTCCAATACTGATTTAATCCTAGAATTTTTTGGTCTTCCTGGTTGTTGGCAAACCACAGGAGGCATGCACACTTTTTCAGCGACATGATCTGGTACAGGAAAAGTATTATCCCTTGGCATCACAGCAGTAGAGTAGGCATTATACAAATAATTCTTGCAATAATAAGAATGGCATAAGGATATGCGAGATTTTTTCCTTGCTTCCGCTGCTGCAATAGCATGCATGCATGGTAATTTTTCCAAATCAAATCTACGGCATGAGCACTTTTTCTCGGTTAAGTGCACGACATGCAAAGATGATCTGTCAGTCACTTGCGATTGATTTGCATTTATAGCTTGCACTACAAGCTTCTTAGCATATGGTACACGAATCTGGTAAATCAATATAGTAGTTAGGTCTTGTTAAACAATATTGCAAAGCCATTAATAAGTTACACAACGTTTACCTCCAACAGCTTCTCGACTCCACGGGTCAAAGTCGTTTTTGTTAACCTAGCCACATTCTTTCCCTCAGAAAACCACTGCGTCATCATTAATAGTATTGCATCTAATAGATGAACAATTGGCAAACTCCTTGCGTCCGAGAGCACCCTATTTATCGATTCTGCAATATTGATTGTAGTGATATTGTACTTATCTCCCAGAAAATAAACACATGTCCACAATTGCACGTTAGCACTTTGTAAATAGCTATGCAATGCTGGATTCAAGACTTCGATCTGATCATATATGGACTCAAAATCTGGAATTCTAAAAGAGTTTGTCGCCTTTTTAACCAAACTAAAGGTGTCACGGCCTTTAAATCGCACTAGGATGCTCTTATATAGGTGGTACATACATATTCTACGACTAGCCATCGGATATACATTTGCAATGGCCTTCCCAATTGATTTCTGCCTATCATAAATTATTGCTAGTCCTTCATCGTCCGGATCACACAATGAAGTTGCCTAAAAAACCAATCCCATGATTCATCATTTTCAGTATCGACTATTGCTTTTAATATTTGAAAATTTCCATCTTGCGAAGTGGCAATAAGAAGTGTTCCTTTATATTTTCCCTGCAAAAATGTGCCATCAACGACCACCACCTTTCTCATGAAGGGAAATCCATTAATGCTAGCACCAAACGCAAGAAAAAGATACTTGAATCTTTGATTGTCATCAACTTCTAGGCGTGTAAATGTACCAGGATTTTCTCTTCTTATCATGTGTAAGTAAACAGGTAATTCAGCATAACCTTCCTCTGAAGTTCCTCTAACCAAATTTGTGCTTGTTTAAGTGTCCTATGAGCCTTCCAATAATCCATCTAGTTATAGGAAAAAAATCTGTAAAACTGTTTTTATATCGAAATAAATGGTAAATTTAGTGCAATAGCTGAATTCAAAACACACATTGATACCAAATCGCATGTTTAATGCCTGAGAAACATGGATTGGTAAAACTTTAGCTCCAACACCACCAACGAAATCTTTTTACAATAGTCATAATATCTCCAGAGTTGCTTGTCGAGAACGCAAAGAATGCTCTGTAATAGAACATGTATGTTCCGTAACATACACACGGACGTAGAATTGGGGAGAATTTCCGACTGGTGAAGCTCGTACTCTCCAAGTACATCTATTCACCCAACACTTAACTATTAGCAAACACGATGTTGATTTAACAACATTGAAATCAAACTGATGTAAGATTGACAAAATCTTCAATCTTGTCTCCAAAGCATCTTTTGTCTCATAACGTTGTCCAACAACTAGATTAAGTGAATTCAATTCTAGTTTCACATGTGGCGCTTCCCTTTGTTTCCTTGGTTGTACTCGTGAACCCTCTTTTTTAACTGTTTTCGTGCTCTTCTCGTTCTTTTCCTCCGGAGGGTTTCCATACAAGCTAAAGTCTTCGTCGTCAGATGTAGCTCCATTCGAATCATCGCAACAGTCAAATCTGCGTTCCTCGTCGTCGTTTTGATTTCCCTCACACATTGACACTTTCTCCTCATTGGCTTCATCTTCGTCTTCATGCTTATATCGATCACACTTCTGTTTTTCTTTCTCTTTAACTTGGACACAAAGTCGACGTGGTGCAGCTTTGTATTGTTCAAAAAAACTCTTAAACTGTCGTGAATTTCCAACAACCACAGGAGCTGTATTATGCGGCAACTTTATCAAAACCCTTTTCGGAAACATGTAACTCAAATCAACCTCATATAATCTCTCATCCAATCTATACTCCTCGTAAACTGTTTGAATGAATTCTTCATAAGATGTAGAACGATTTATTGTTACAGTTTTGCAGTCTTTATTACCATCAACAGCAAATAACCATTTGTTTTCTTCAAGCATCCATTTACCACATACCAAGATAATTTGCGCCATGTGGGGTTTGTTTTGAAGAGGAAGAAGATTAAAATGTTTGATTGTTTTGAAGAGAGAAGAAGATGGTTAGCGACAACACTAAAACATACTTAGCCGTCGTTTTTGAATTTTAAATTTCTATTAGATCAAATTAGGTATTTATTATTTTAAGGCTGTCATAATAGATTTAAAATAGTTTGTCATTGTGAATCTGTTGTTCGATATCAAAATATGTCGTTTAATTTTTTTTTGTCATCAATAATATTGATGACGAAAATAAGTTTATCAATCAAAACCGTCATCTAAAAATAAATCTGTTAAAAATAATTAAATCTATTATATCATTACAAAAAATTTGCTATATAAATCTGTCTTAGAAAATAAGTCTATTAAAAATAATTAAATCTGTTATGTCATTATCAAAAATCTGCTATATAAAATTATCTCAGAAAATAAGTCTAACGAAGAAAATAAATCTGTTGTTTCATATGACAAAGTTTTACAAATAAACCTGTCCTAAATGAAAATCTGTGAAAATAATCTATCAAAAGAATTAAATTTGTACAAAAAATAAAAATCTACCATCAAATAAATAACAGATTATTTCGATAGACTTATTTATTTATAAATCTTTCATGATATTTTCAAAAATATTATAATGATATTTTCGTAATATTGTTTTAGGTAAGTATCATTAAAAGATAAAATAAACATAAAATATGTCCGATCTATTATAAAGATATATAAGTTACTCTAATAATAATAAGTTAAATTTTAGTCATTTTAGTAAACTTCCCTTTATTTTTTTAAAAATTTGGGTCATTTTAGTCTTTGAGATATCAAAAACCGATGAAGAATTTATGATAAGTAACTGATTCGGTCTGTTTCTGACTTTCATACCCCTTCGTAAGGTTTATTTGGTCAGTTTTCTGTTAATGTTTTTGGTTGATTTAGGAGATCAAAAACCTTAAAACTGGACAAGTCATTTCGTTACAAGATCGGTAACATAAGCTAATATAGTACTAATATATAAAGAGAGTATTACGATATTCAGACCCAAAACGCCAAATACACACAAACGCCAATAGTAAAACAGATGGTGTATTAGGTAAGGTTTGTGAACTCGTCAACTGTTTATAAGAACCGTTTTATTATCAGTTTCTTGTATCGAAGAAGACACGAACAACGTCCATAACCTGAGCTCGGCAAATCGGGCATCTCCCTCCACTCCAGTGTAGTTCATTGGCACATTTCAGGCACGTGCACATATGTCCACACTTGTACAAAACCGCTTCGACCTGCGTTTCGTCGCAGACGCAGCATCTGCGTTTCATTGGGTTTTCTCGGTGAACCGACTGTTGCAAGCTCGCGTTAGCATCCAAACACGTTTTGACAGAATCTCGTAGTAACGACATTTCTTGTTGAAGCTGTTGGATCTGTGATCTCATATCGCTTATCAGCTCCATTTCCTGACAATGTTTTTTCAAGCGGTTCAAAATTTTGTTTTACTACTAGTTTCTGTGTAATAACAAGAAATCGATAAAGACTTACAGGTGAATCATGAGGACTGTGAACAGACAAGACAGGACTGGAAGTTACTTCAGTGTCTTGAGAGCTCCATGATCCTGTAGGAGACGAAGCAAACATACGCGAAGACGAAGATCGGCTCGAGTCATCTCTATCGTCTTGCTCTTCCTCTTCTGTTACTGGTTCTTCTTCCTGTTGCAATCCCCATTTTTCAGAATGCTTATTCAAATGTGTCTGCACACGGGACATCATGAGTTTTTCGATCTGCTCTCGTAACCCGCTCTCGAGAAAGTCCGTCACCGTTCTCCTGTATTACAGGCCGGAAAATACAGTTTTTTAGTCAATGATTAACAATTACAAAACACGTGGTTGTTGAGTTTGATGGTTACTTACCGCTCAAGGAGTCTGCGTATGTCTTCTTTCTCAGACCGAGTGTTCATTACTTCCAGGTACCTTGATTTCCTCAGTTCCTCCCAGTAACTTCGCGGTCGAGATATTTCGGTAAGCCAGTCATTGTTGGGTTCTCCGTAGTAAGACTGCTCATCTTCATACTCTTCTTGTTCTTCCCATCCATTCAAGTAAGACGTTTCTTGTTTCTCAAGGTACTGATCCATCTCATTACTCTCATGTAACACACCTTGTGTTTCTGGAGCTTCTTGAGTTTCGCAGGTGCTCGAGCTTGTCTTCGTTTCTTCTTTCTTTTCAGAATCGCCGTCGTTCCTAGTTTCTGATTCATTTGTTTCTTGTAGCTGAAGGCAATTCATTTTTGATTCAACTGTTCCGTTTACAGTTTCCACTTCCTTGCATAACGTTGCTTCTTCCACTCTCTTGCGGTTGCGGTGACTCAACCGCTCTGCGAAAGAAGATTCTAGAGCAATACTGCCGTTTTTCGAGCTCTCTGTAGTTACTTTTGTTTCTTCTACGGCTCTGTTATTCATCTCAGCAGATCGATGATGATGATCCTTCCTCTGATCTGCTGCAGAAGCAGCGTTTACTGCGTTAGCACGAAATTTTTCCCTGCGTTGTGATTTTAAAGATTGAGGACTAGAAAAAATGTAAACGCTGAGAACTAAACTCAAAAACTTTTAGGAGAGAAAAGAATAGAACAGAGATTCTGAAAAAAAACCTTAAATGCAGAACTGTAGAGCCCGTCTCGATCCGGTTTAATCCGGTTGCTTTTGCGTTGGACCGGTTTTGATCTTGAATCATTAGACAGCGTTTGAGGTTCCTTAGCCTTAGCATTGACTGATTTTAAAAACCACATTAAAATGTGGCGATACTGTAACTAAACAAAAGCTTCACTAAAATGTTTGGGTGGTTTGAAAATATTTTACCTGGAGACGACCACGTTGAGTAAACCTAGAAACAGCGTTGCGTTCAAGAAGAGAATCCAATTCACGGTGGCGATCGCGTTCGATTTGGATAAGCAGGTCGGTGAACGCTTGCCGTCCTCGGATCCTCGGTGAGAATTTAACCACCGGAAAATTGCTTTTCTCCGATACCGACGACGAGCATGACGAAACACGAGGCTTCGGCGTTCTGATCGCGAGTCCGCCGCAACCGCCGCCATTATCTCCGGCGGTTAGCTTCTCTTCGTTGCTAAGTCTCCGAATTAAGTCAGCGACTCGACCCCATTTGCTCTCTCCGGAATCAGAAACCGAGCCGTGCGAGTCAGATTCAACCTCCACCGTTCGATCATGATTTTTAGCTTCCACGATTCCCGGTTCATCGACCAATTCCGCGATCGACGGAGATTCTGAAAAATGGGAATCTTGAACACTGTCTCCTGAATCGCTCCGGCTACTACTCGCCGTCGATTGGTTATTACGACTCGGCGAGTTTCCGCCGTTGGATCGGTTTAGCCTCGCCTCCCATATCTGAACCAGAGAAGAAGCACCGTTTATCTTCGATTCCTCAGATTTCTCCTTCCTTGAAACAGATTCTAATGGAGGTGAAAGAACACGCGATTTTCTCACAATTGGTTTCTCAATACGATTGTTCCCTTTACTCTGAGTCTGGATCCAAGAATCGACTAAGTTCTCGATGTTTTCGTCGGAGAGCGGAGACTTAAAGAGCTGCTGATGATGATGGTCTTCTTTCGCAGGACGTTTCAGATTCTTCTTGTAAACGACGTCGTTCTGATTGCGATCTCTAAGAATAAAGCCGAATCTCTGAGAGGAAGAAGGAATCTCTAACTGAGAAGACGCCATTTTTACTATCTGAGTATCAGAATCGATCGAGGCAAATGATGGAAGGAGTTAAGAGAAAAAACTCTGTTTCTCTGTCTACAAGAGGAAGAAAAAGAAAGAGCAAAGTCGTTTTTTGGTTAGTGAAGAGACTGAATTTTCTCTAAAAACAGAGGAAAGAAACAGGACAACAACAAGCGGTGGAGATACGAGGAACGGAACGATGAAGAACAGACAAAACCAATGGAACAGTATTGAGCTTATCTGTTTTGTAAGATTTTTTTTTTTTTTTTTTTTCGATTTTGTTTTTCTTTTTGTTGCATCCACCGCTAAAAAATGTGAAGTCCTAAAATCGCTCTGTTTTGTTCCCTTAAACGTTGGAACGTGTCTGTCAAATAAGGGAATAAAGAAATGAGGTGTAAAAACAGAGTTTCTCGAGAAAGAAAAAAAAGCTTCCGTGGCCAAAAGTGAAATTGGTTATACTATACTGTAAGTCTTAATTATATTAGAACTAAAAAAGCTATAATTTCGGGGTATAATTTAAAGGTTTTGAACACACATGCCACTTTACTGGTGAAAGCATTTAATTACTACCTTACGGAGTACTAATTAAATAATTAGTTGAAGGAGTTAAGGCTCCTAAATGCGATAGTCAAAGAGACGTTGGGGAATTTAGCCGTTGGTGAGTGGGAACCATGCACTTTCTTGATTTCCGACACATCATTAGTCGAATTGTTTTTTAAAACTACAATTTTCAATGAAGAAGAAAGGAACTAAGAAGAGTAAACAAATGTTAGATGAAGTAAAAAAAGTTGTATATATAACTGCTAAAAAAAAAAAGAGAAAAAGGTGAAAAACAAATCAGCTTTGTGGATTTGTAAATAATGTCAGATTTGTGTCATAATTCAAGCTCAAACATAGCAAACGTTTAAGTTAGACCACAAAAAATATTTCAATTATAGATTCAGTATTTTTAGTGTATTTAAGCAGCATCATGCCATCATCTATAGAATATAAGCGAGATAAAATTTGCAGAGAATTGCGTTTTGAACTCTAGATTGGGACCTTTAATAAAGTGTCTTTTGAAGAGTTGAAGTAAACAAAAACAGAAGAAGATGAAATGTCATTTTAAATATTAAAATTTTCTTTAAATAAAAACACCGTTTCTTCTTTTCATATCTTCAGTATTTAAAGAAAGAACTAGGTCATTTATTCACTGGTACCAGTTTTATACAGTTTTGGTAGGCCATCTCAATAAACATTGCCCTTTAATGAGCCTATAACCAAGATAATTGACCCATTATGAAGTACAGGTTATATAAACCCGATTGTGCAAGTTTATTGTTCATTTGGAAATCTCACGTTTTGCTTTACCGATTACTTGATAAACATACTGCTACCATGTAATAATCCAGGTTTAAACGTGCTTACTTAAGTGTTGGACAAAAATAAAATAAAACAATGATATAACACCACAGGTTCACAACCGACCAAAGAACAAAACAAAATAAACCCAATCCAAGTTGACCAAAAACAATTAACATTAATCTAATCCAAATAAGTCAAACCCCTGATTTCAATAATGCAAAGATCACTCTATATATCAATTTATCGTTTTCTATTATAAAAAGGAATCATACACGACATGCAAGCAAGTCATTTGAATTATCAAAATCTTTTTAAGTTGTGCTTCCCACGTACAACCATCACATTACTTTCCAAACCCAATATATATAAATTACACACACAGCACATCTCTCGACCATATCAAACAAACCCAACTCCAATCAAACTGAGAAAGATATATATAAAAAAAGTCAAAAGAATGAAGTTGGCCGTGGTCTCAGTCGTCGTCCTACTCGTGATTTTCGTGTCCTGGCCTGTATCGGCATACCAAAAAGACTCACCTGGAGGTGGAGGATACGGAGGCGACGAGGAGCATGACACGAATTTATGGTTTCCTTTGGACAATCTATTATCGTTGAGTTATTATGATAAGATTTGTCCAGATTTTGAGAAAATCGTCGACACCAAAGTGAGGGAATGGACAAAGACTGACCCTTCCCTCGGTCCCGCCCTCCTCCGCCTTCTCTTCCACGATTGTGGTGTCACGGTATTGCCATTATATCTTCTTTCTTAAATATTTATTTAACATTTAACCGTTTAATTGCATGCCAAGTATTTATGATAACATTACTCCATGCCATACAGCTAATATTTTGATTCTAAAAATGGGTCTTAGCTCTTAACTGAAGGTTGTTGGGATGATGAATGACTATTAGAGTTCTTATTGGTAGCATTTTATAATTGGTTTTTCAATCTTCTTTCTTTTCAAATAACATTCTACAATTGTGGAATATTTTGGTGCTGAATATGTATATGATAGAATCAATTAACTGAAAAGCATGATATGAATGAAATCCATGAAATGATGGAATCATTTGATTTTTATCATTAATTTTGAACTTTGCTGAAGATATAGAGATTATAACGATTTAGCTTTATTATGCGATTAGTATAACTTTTTGCGAAACCACGTAAACACATTCGTTAAGTAACCAAAGTCGATGTTAGAACATTAATAGTCGATAGGAAATAAGTATCTCAATATTAAATTAAAGACGGAATTATGCAATTTATTCTAACCAAAAACGCACCTTATATATTGTTTTGGACATATCTATATATAAACATTTTGAAAAATAATAACTAATATTTTAATTTGTGGATGGTATAAACAACTTTCAGGGATGTGATGCGTCAGTTCTTCTAGACCACGAAGGATCGGAGAGAAGATCTCCAGCGAGCAAAACCCTAAGAGGCTTCGAGCTAATCGACGATATCAAGGCCGAGCTCGAGAAATCTTGCCGCGGATTAGTCTCCTGCGCCGACATCCTAGTCGCAGCTAGCCGCGACGCCACCTACCAACTCAAAGGCCCTTACTGGCCCAACGCTTACGGTCGTCGTGACTCCAAAACCTCTTACGCTAGAGACGTGGAGAAAGTCCCTTCAGGCCGTCGTGACGTCACAGCTCTCCTCGAGACGTTTCAGTCTTACGGACTAAACATCCTCGACCTAGTTGTCCTTTCCGGAGCTCACACCATCGGAAAAGCCAACTGTGGAACCATCCAGTCTAGGCTTTACAACTTCAACGGCACCAGTGAATCTGATCCGTCTATTAATCCCGAATTGGCAGATTACTTGAGGCGCAAGTGTCGTTGGGCGTCCGAAACCGTTGACCTAGACGTCAAGACTCCGGTTACATTCGATAACCAGTATTACATTAATCTTAAGAATCATGAGGGAGTTTTGACGACTGATCAGGAGCTTCTTAAGGACCCGAGGACCGCTCCGCTTGTAGACGCTTTCGCGACGCAGCCCTCTCATATGTTCAGACAGCAGTTTGCTGTGTCGATGGCTAAGCTAGTCAATGTTGGTGTCATCACCGGCGAAGATCGTATCGGAGAGATCAGGAAGGTTTGCAGCAAATCAAACTCAAAACATTGAGTTTCAAAAAGCGACTTTTGGTTTGTTGAAGTAATTTCTTGTTTGGTTTAATTTTGGATTCTTTTCTATTGTAATTTGTTGTCTGAACGACAACAATAAAAATTGTGAATCTTGTTTTATACTGAGACTTTATTTCGTTACGAGTTAACAAAAGACTTGCGAACTTGTCTTTCAACTTCTGATTTACATTTAGCTTAATCTGTTGCTTTACAATTGTAATTTATCCAATATGATAAACATATGTCCAAAGGTTCATAAACGTTTATAGAATCCTAAATCAAGTAAATATTTGTGATGATAGCTTCGGTGCAAGAAAATGAAAGACACGAGCCAATATCAGACGTCTTTAGAATCAGTCACGTTTTTTCTATAATACTGATGAGTCTAGCGAAATAAAGCAACACAAAAGAAGATATATTCTACGACGTTTGAGAATTTAGAGTGAACAAAATTATGCGAGCTGAAACAAACAAGAAGAAAGGCAAACAAGTTTGGTGGTTAAACCTAAAAGAGTTTTAGACTCGCTTGCCTCGAAGAACACCCTTACTGCGACGATTCTTCATCCCCATCTTGAACTTCTTCTTCATCTTCCTCCCGACGGGTTTTAGCGACTTGGTTTGCTTCTCATCATCCATTTCTACATCTGCAAAAACCAATAGTATCCAAAAACAGAACACAACCATGTCAAACATTCAAACGATGATATAACTTGAAAGAAACTAGTATATATACAAGTTCTGAACAAAATTCAATATCAAGAAACAATAGCAAGCTTCTAAAATGAAACAGAATTGATTTGGTTCTTAGCACACAAGAAACCATTGACAACATTAAGTTTGATAGTCACATTGCTATAAAGAAATTGAAGAAGCAAAAACACTTCCCAAGAGTAATGAACTAAACTTTCAAAAATTTCAGCTAAAATGAGTGATTCTGATGGATTTCAAATGCTAAAGTTTATAAAAAAAAGTAGCTTTTTTTCAAGCGTTGCCTTATCTAAGGGCACATCGAACACAAAACGAACAAAATCAAAGAGCACATAGAAGGACGAAATTAACGGCGAAGATCTCAAGCTATACAAACCAAGTTCACATGGAGAAACTGAAGTTACTACTACGGTAGAAGCCGAACATACCCATATTGTTGGCGGTAGTGCCGGAGGCAGAGGCAGGCTCGGAGGTCGACGTCGCAACTTCCATGAACGGAGAAGCTGGTGGTTGACGAACCGGTAGCTTCGGCGCGGCGAGTGCGGCTTCGATGGCGGCGGATTTGGCGTCTTCTCTCGTTAAGGTGAATGATTCCTTCTCAACTATTCCTCTTCTTATAGCTCTCAATCTCTTCACCCTCTTGCATCTCATCGATTTCGCCATCGTTGCGCTGGTAATTGAAGCTTGAGGAGATCCGAAATTAGGGCTGCGGGGTTTTTATGAATTTAGCGTCGGATAGTTTATATCGTCTAAACCTAATTGAGAAATTGTCCGTGGGTTCTGTTTGGTTACTAGTTTAGGTGAATCGTATCCTAGGTTAGGGCCCATTGACTACATGATTGGTCCATAAGTTTCTTGTGGTTAATGGCCCAATACGGTATCTATAGGCCCAAATGAAAATTCCATCGAAAAGAACCCGGAAACACCTCTCCTCTTCTTCCCGGCGCAGATCACACACGGTGGTAAATTTCTCAGAAGAATCCATTGTTTCTATTAGAAGAAAGCTCTCACTTTCCGCTTTGAAGATTTAATCGCTCCCCGTTCTTCTTCGGGTTAGTTTTTTTCTTTCTGTGGATCAATTGTGGAATTTCTTCGTCATGTGATTATGTTGTTCGATTAGTAATCAGATCTTCGCTCTTATTGAAGATTTTGATTTGTGTCGATAGATTTTGAAAATTGCATGACGAGATAATCTTGGGTTTGTACGGTTGGTTTGAATCATAGATCTATAGCGGTATGTGTTTCAGTGTTTGTTTGTGCATTCTCGTGATTTGAAATCGAAAGCAATGAAAGTTATTACAAATTGAGATTATGACTCAAAGATCATCGATATTAGGATCTGTTGATGAATCCTGAATCTGATTATCTTTGGTCTTAGGCGTTTATAATTTGGTCTTACAAAATCAAAATCGAAATTTGAAGAAAACTCTGGATTCAAAGAGGGCTCTAAGAAGTGAAATTCTAATATGCAAAATGCTATAGTTACTGTTTTTGGTTTCAAAAGTTTAAGACTTTAAGAACTAGAATATGTATCGATGTGGTTTCTATGAGAGAAGATGTGATGGTTTTGGCTTGATGAACAGAGATGTACAATAACATGGGACCTCAACCGGGGATGCCAAGACCTCCGGGAAACCCTGAGCCCGGTCCGTTCGGGAATCCGTTCACTGGAGCTGGCTCCGGTTTCATCCGCGGTGGCTTGGGAGCGTACGGAGGGAGGATTTTAGGATCTAGCTCAGAGTATGTGCAGAGCAATGTAAGTGAAACCTTCTGGTGATTGATTCTACATCGCATGTGATATCTGAGTTTTCATCAGTTTTTAAGCTATGTTTTTCTTTTCTTTGGAAATGGCACAGATAACCCGCTACTTCTCTGATCCTCAATACTATTTCCAAGTGAATGATCAATATGTGAGGAACAAGCTGAAGGTTGTTCTGTTTCCTTTCTTACACCGGGTATGCTAGTCTTCTTCTCTTTTCTTCTTCTTTGAGACCTTCTCATAGCAGCCATTAATGTGGGTTCTGCTTCAAACCTTCAGGGACACTGGACCAGAATCTCTGAACCTGTCGGAGGTAGGCTCTCATACAAGCCTCCGATATATGATATCAATGCGCCGGACTTATACATTCCGTTTATGGCATTTGGTACATACGTTGTTCTTGCTGGCCTTTCACTGGGACTTAACGGAAAGTAAGTTTTGTGCTTCATCTCTCTCCATATGCTTCTCTCTTAGAGTTTTAGTCTTATGGTTTGCATGATTGATATAGGTTTACACCGGAAGCTTTGAATTGGCTGTTTGTGAAAGGATTGGTTGGTTGGTTTTTGCAAGTGATGCTCCTGAAGATTACACTTCTGTCACTCGGTAGCGGAGAGGCGCCATTGCTAGACATTGTTGCATATGGAGGCTATGCTTTTGCTGGTCTATGTCTTGCCGGTTTTGCCAAGATTATGTGGGGATACTCGTACTACGCTCTGATGCCATGGACGTGTTTATGCACCGGAGTTTTCTTAGTGAAGACGATGAAGCGTGTTCTGTTTGCTGAGGTGAGGAGTTATGACTCGAGCAAACACCATTACCTTCTGCTGTTTTTAGCCTTGGTCCAGTTCCCTCTTTTGATCTGGCTTGGTAACATTAGTGTTAATTGGCTTTTGTAATTTGGGTTTTTTTTTGTAATGTACGATTTTTTTTATTGTTGTTGTGAAGTCTTAATGGTACTTGACTACTTGTAGCAAAATTTGAACATTCTTTTTGACAATGTATGCTGATCTATTCTTTTCATATGAAATGTGGTGAAGAAAGTGTTATTTTGAACATCATTTGTAGTCTCTTTATACATTCTTTACCATCATTATCTATTTTATGAAAACTCTAATTCCATATATATATATAAAACTGGCATGAGAACTCTCTAGCCAATTGGATAATTTTAATCATTGAATGACATTTAATCATGTAATTAAACATTTAAAAATCAACGTCGTGTTTAGTGAAGATAATCATTTTCTCTCCTCAAACAAGTACAACATATTATTGTATATATTATTGTATATACACTAGTTCATTGCATTCTAATCATTTTTATATTACAAGACTTAGTCTTCTGCTAAATAAAAATGCATGTTTGGAGCTATTTCTACGAATTTATTAAAACAAACACATCATGACCTATAAACAAAACACATCATACTCATGGTCTGCCTTAAATAATTTGGAAATAATGGTAAAAGCTTACAGTTAGGTTGGATATTTAATAAATTTATGTTGATTATGAAATTATTGATGTCTCCTACTAATTGTCACAATCGGTGTTTGGATGATTCTCCAACTTAACCCATATGGTACTTCAATAGACTATGCATTTCTCAAAAGTCAATGAAGTGAGCAATGGTCTTGATTTTTGTGACCATTTGCACTTGAATCATCCGGGAAAAAAATTGAAACTTGTAGACTTAAGCAACCCAATATTGTAACGTTTACCACTTGATTAAGCTTAAAGATTAGACCTTTGAAAGAAAAGAAAAAATGATAGGATCTCACGATTGCCTTACATTCTAAGAAATCGTTAATCTTTTGTTTTTCTGGTCAATAATTTAGAAATATAATCTAAAAAAAAAGAGAAGAGAAGAAAGAATGAAAGAGAGAAGTTTGTTGAATGAGTAGTTGCAGAGACATGGTTAGTTCCGCTGACTCTGTCAAGTCATCTTCTCTCCCGTTTACTTTACGTTAACATCTCTTTTTCTCTCTCGAGAAAAATCCCCAGAGAGAAAAAAAAAAAATCGAAAACAGAGACACCCACTTTCCTGCAAACTCAATTCTTTTCACCTCTTGAATCTTTCCTACCACTTTCCCATGAGAATCAATAGAGAATGAAGACAGTTCGAATCACCTAACTCTGTTTAAGGTCTCACTTTCTCGGGAAAATCTACAGAAAACCGAAAAACAGAGAAACCCAGTTCCGAAAAATCATTACTTTTAAAACCAGCCTTCCATTATCAGGAAACAAACACAGTTGAAACCAAATTGAAGCACAAGTTTTTCAAAAAATCTTGTTTTTGTAATCGGAACCAATGTCTATGATCGATAAAGGAGCCACCTTGGCTCTGTTTCTAGCGTTGACCATGGTGGTCAACGGCGTTTTCGGGAGATTCGTCGTTGAGAAGAGCAGCGTGACGATCCTAAACCCTATGGCAATGCGGTCTAAGCATGACGCAGCCATCGCTAACTTCGGCGTTCCTAACTACGGTGGTTACATGATCGGCTCCGTCGTCTACGCCGGTCAAGGAGCTTATGGATGCGACTCTTTCGCCAAAACTTTCAAACCCAAATTCCCTCGGCCTACCATCTTAATCATCGATCGTGGAGGTAACTGTTTCATTCGCAAAGATTTTGAAGCAAATTAATAGGGAATGTTCTTCCAACTTCCAAGTTTCCGGTTAGAAATAGAAAGTTTTTTGTCTTTTAGAAGTAGAGACTTGTCTCAATCTCAAATTAGTAATCTCAGTTTAACTCAAAATCTCTTTCTTTTTAAGTCTTAGTTTCAGCATCTTTCAATCTTCTTTTTGATCCAAATTTCTGGCTAGAGATACAAGTTTTTGTCATTTACTTATGAGACTTGTCTCAATCTCAATTTAATTGGATAAGAACTTTACATCATTCAATCTCCTTTTTGATCCAAATACCATGCAAATTTGCTTATGTTAAAAAATCTCTGGTTAGATTTAGAAAGCTATGTCCTTTATATACGAGACTTGTCTCAAATTTAGTTTGTAGAAGAACTCAAAAGCTCTGTCTTTTCAAGTCTTAATTTACATCTTTCAGATTCATGACTACTTTTCTTAATCGAATCACCTCTCTGCAAATTTGATATGTTCCACATTTCTGTTTAAATATAGAAAGTTCTGTCATTTACATATGAGACTTGCCTCAAATCTCAAAGCTATTTATGTTCTGGTTTGATTAGTTTTTCTTTTTGCTCTGTTTTGTTTTGCATTAGAGTGCTACTTTGCATTAAAAGTATGGAACGGTCAACAATCCGGTGCAGCAGCAGTTCTAGTAGCTGATAACGTCGATGAGCCATTGATAACAATGGATTCGCCTGAGGAATCCAAAGAAGCTGATGACTTTATAGAGAAAATCAGCGTTCCATCTGCTTTAATCGACCTATCTTTCGCCAACACACTCAAGCAAGCTCTTAAAAAGGGCGAGGAAGTAGTCCTGAAGATAGACTGGAGCGAGTCATTGCCTCATCCGGACGAGAGAGTCGAGTATGAGCTTTGGACCAACACGAACGATGAGTGTGGTGCGCGATGCGATGAACAGATGAACTTCGTCAAGAACTTCAAAGGGCACGCGCAGATTCTCGAGAAAGGAGGATACGCTTTGTTCACACCTCACTACATTACATGGTTTTGCCCTAAAGATTACGTTTCAAGCAACCAATGTAAGTCTCAGTGTATAAACCAAGGGAGGTACTGTGCTCCTGACCCTGAACAAGACTTTGGTGATGGATACGATGGGAAAGACATCGTCTTTGAGAATCTGAGACAGTTATGCGTTCATAGAGTAGCCAAAGAGAACAGTAGGTCTTGGGTTTGGTGGGACTATGTGACTGATTTTCACATCAGGTGTTCTATGAAGGAGAAGAAGTATAGCAAAGAATGTGCAGAGAGTGTTGTGGAATCTCTCGGTAAGAGAGACATCTTCACAATCGTTTTTTTTAGCATACTTTCTTCACATTCAGGTTCTTAAAAGAACTCTCTTGTTCTCAGGGTTGCCTCTTGACAAGATCAAGAAATGTATGGGTGATCCTGAAGCTGATGTGGAGAATGAGGTTTTGAAAGCCGAGCAAACGCTTCAGGTAGCGGTTTTTTTTCTTTTTCGGCGACTATATTTTACCGTCTTTGAAACCAGTTTCACCGAGTTTTTTATCATCTCTCTTACCAACAGGTAGGACAAGGAGACAGAGGGGATGTCACAATCTTGCCAACATTAATCATCAACAATGCTCAATACCGAGGTTTTGTTTCATTGCTTCTAACTGTAAATTTTTTTTTTTAGAATACAAAAGATCTAAAATTTAATTCATTGCTCAGGTAAACTCGAGAGAAATGCTGTATTAAAGGCTATATGTTCAGGGTTCAAGGAAAGAACCGAACCTGGGATCTGTCTAAGTGGAGGTTAAACCAATTCTCCTAGTAACCTGATCTTTTTTTCTGGTGATTGAATATTAAAAATAAATCTTGTTTACACTTTTGAAACAGATATTGAAACAAACGAATGTCTTGAAGCAAATGGAGGGTGTTGGCAGGACAAGATCTCTAATGTAACAGCTTGCAAGGTACTTGCTTAATACCAACAAAACGTTTTAGTTTTTAATGTTTTGTTTTCTCTCATTGATATTAATGGGCTTTTTTTAACCTAAATTGGATATCACTCAGGACACATTTAGGGGAAGAGTCTGTGAATGCCCTGTTGTGAATGGTGTGCAGTATAAAGGAGATGGCTATACTTCATGTAAACGTATGTTCTTGAACTTGTACTATATTGTTGTAAAAAAAACATTTTAGGTTGTGGTTTGAGAAAAGAAGTCAACTTTTTTTTGCTTCGAATGTTTAAAACAGCTTATGGACCTGCGAGATGTTCAATAAATCAAGGAGGCTGCTGGTCTGAAACCAAGAAGGGCTTAACAATGTCCGCTTGTTCGGTAAAGTGACAATGCCCTAAAGTTTGAAACATTTCGTCCAAGTTTCTCGTTTCTTAACAAACTTTTCTCCAATTTTTGAGTGCAGAATTCGGAGTCATCGGGATGTCGTTGTCCTCAAGGCTTTAAAGGAGATGGTCTTAAATGTGAAGGTGAAAACTTTTTTCCCACATTCAAATTTTAAATTTTACCATCTTGATTACATAAAACTGATTAATCTTGTTATATATATATATATATATATGTACTAGACATTGATGAATGTAAAGAGCAATCAGCTTGTCAATGTGATGGATGCAAGTGTAAGAACCAATGGGGAGGGTTTGAATGCAAATGCTCTGGCAATCGTCTCTATATGAAAGAACAAGACACTTGTATTGGTAAATGTCGAAAACAAACAACAAAGATGTAAACTTTGTTATATTCTTATCTTGTTTTTTTTTTCCATGGCAGAGAGAAGTGGATCAAGAATCGGATGGTTCTTCACATTTGTGATCCTAGCTTCAGTTGCAGCTATCTGTGTAGGTGGTTACGTATTCTACAAGTATCGTCTCAGGGTATGTTTTCACACTTTTGTTTCTCTTTTATTGTCATCATGAATTTCTCTAATGATGGTTCTGATTTTGTGTGTCAAAACTCAAAATGCAGTCTTATATGGATTCAGAAATTATGGCGATTATGTCTCAGTACATGCCATTAGAGAGCCAAAACACAAACGATCCAATGACTGGTGAATCTCAACAGCAACAGCTGAGATTAACTTCTGCAGCCTAAATCTAATTTCACTTTTTCTTTGGTGGAGGTTTTGTTGTTGTGTCAACCTCAAGGAAAGTCTTTATAAAGAGCTAAAGAAGAAAATGTCTCTTGTTTTTACTTTTTATTGTGTTTATCCTGAAGAAAAAAGAACTTATTTTTTGGTCATTTTTACTTTTTTTTTTCTACTCTTTTCGTTGTTGTAGATAGATATATGCTTAAGAATTTATAGGGTTACATTTTGAAAGGAAGTTATTACTTATGATCCAAGAGACTTGCAGCTTGTCATAAGCATTGTGTTCATGTAGTGAATTGTTAATCCCTATCTCTCCAAGTTATACTGCTAAAGGTCTTCGAGTCCTGAAAAGATACTATCAAAACTCAGACGACTTAAATCCCAAAAGACATAAGCTTCAACTATGTCTCTCGGAATGAAACTGAACTAGGAGGGAACTTGAGAGATCAAGACGCCATTGATTGCTGCACCAAGTATCAAGTCTCTTTTCTCTTCACCAATGTCAGACATTTCCGCCATTAGATTATTATGATGGTTAAGACTTACGAGCATATTATTAGACATTCACTATTAATTATTTTGAAGGAAGACTCTACAAGAAATGAAGAGACCAAGATGATGTTTGTAACATTGAAACCTTATATATGAGATATGAATTCTGAATCCCTGAATAACGCCAAGATCTTTTTCTCTCTCTCTCTCTCTCTCTGGGGAAGATTTAAGTTTTTATATGTATAAACTGAAGCCGGAAAAAAAACCAGATGAAAATTAAACCACAGAACGCTAAAACTAGCTTTCAAGTAATGTGCAAAATGATAACTAGAGCATGGAGATGAAAACCCTAAAAGAACCAAATAGCTCACAACGAAACACATGAAGATCAAAAGTCACATCACGGCCAGACTAGCTAGAGTCTAAAGTTTAGATCCTCTACATGGTCTACAAAAGCGTAAACTTCACCACGATTCCCACCTAAACCTTGGATTTCAACACTTTGGAGAGTGTTCCTTTCGGGATTGAAGTAGAAAACATAAAAAGATTTAGATTTAGATGTAGAGTCCATTGACAAAACAATTTCACCAGTAGCAGTCACTCCAACGACGGAACATTTGTAGAGATCAACGAGTTCATTATCCGGCAGAGTGTAGACACGTTTTGGACCATTCCCGTTTCTCGACGTCCTCTAGAACCCACAAACACAACTCAATGGCATTAACTTCATCATACGCCAAATCAATCCCACCTAATTTCCCTTTGTAGTTGATCAGTTTAGTACCCCAGAAACCAAATGATTTTCCGTCAATAAACTTTAAATGTCTCAGACCAAACATCAACGCAAACTATCAAACGCTTAGCACTGATTATTAAGTAATACAAAACCCCATTGATGCATATTCCTTTACACGAAGGCTCATGTTTGTACTCGCGGGTGCTGGGGCATTTGAACATCCTCCGCTTCATTTCTCCAGTTCCTGATTTAATCATAGTTTTATGACAATCCGTGAGCAATACCTTGAATTGCTTGTCAATGGGATCAAACCCTAAAAAGCTTCTACAATTCCTGTACCTTCTCAGTTCAGGCAAGCTCGCATACTGTCCCGTGATAGGGTTGCATATCACAGGAGCGGCATCCATTGACTCCTCTAACAACCAAAAAGATATCAAGCCAGAGGCATAGCCACAAACGTATTGATTTATGTCTATAGAGAACTTTGTATGAAAATCAGCGGCTACTACAAGACACGACTTGTCGTACGGATTCTGAAGCTGAGGAGACGAGAAGGAGCGCAACTCACCGTCTCGTTCGACCGTGAATAAGAGACGTGGACGAGCGGAGGATCTTGTCAGGAACAACTCGGTGAAATGTAGACGAAGAAGCATGGAACACCATAGCTTCGAGAGGCAACGAAACCTTTTAACTGACTTCGCAGGCAATCTCGAGAATATCTCGATAATGAGATCAGTCGGGATGTGCCCCAAGTTTTCTCCTTGGGACATGGCTAGGTTGTGTTTGTGTGAATTGATTTGCACCGGAGGAAACGAATGAAACCCTAAGTTTTATGAAGGTTATTAAAATTTATATAATAAGAAATCTTAATTATATACACTTTTAAAACCACCCATTGGACGATTAAACTATTAATCCAAGCTTTGCTCAGAAGAGTTTGAAACAAAGGCGCAAGCACAATGTATCCCTGCTTCTTCCTCTGGACGTACACTGCAAGAAACCCTTTTGGTGCTTAAAATAAAATGCATTCAGACAGAAAATAAAGAAAGAAGCGTCTAATATATCATAATGCAGGATAAAACATTACTTTGCTTCCAAGTAATGTGTAACACAGTTACGACATGAACATGATAAACCAGAAATAACAAAATAGCAGGGTGATAAAGCTCATACAGAAATCTGTAAAACGAGAAGTGATCGCAGTCACAACAGAACTCAGATTATAGCCAACAAAAAAAATCAACGCATGTCTTCACTCTAGGCTAGCCAACAATTCGTACTTGTTCTTCAAGAGGTTTGTCGACTGCTTGTTCTTCACAGATGGGGGCCATGGGGCAGAGTTGCCGAGGTCAGGTTTTTGTGGTTTTGGCCTTGCCCTAATGATATTTAGGCGTGGGATTGACTTAAGGTACTTTGCATCGTTAACGTTAAGATCCTCTACATGGTCTACATAAGTGTAAACTTGACCACGTTTCTCCAAACCTTGGATCTCAACACGCTGGAGAGTGTTCCTTTCGGGATTGAAGTAGAAAACGTAAAACCGTTCAGATGTACGTCTCTCCGACAAAACAATCTCACCTGTAGCAGTCACTCCAGCGAATGAAACATTGTTGTGATAAATAGGTGGATTCTTCGGCAGAGTGTAGACATGTTTCGACCATTCCTGTTTCTCAAAATCTTCTAGAACCCACAGAGACAACTCAGTGGTATTGCCATTGCTCCATCTAATACCACCTAATTTGCCCTTATAGTTTATCAGTTGACCTATATAAGGAAACCCTTCTGCCTCAATGACTTTGTATTTCTCAGACCTAAAATCAAAACAAACCATCGCATAAGAAAATGCACCAATCTCATGAGACCTATGAACTGAGTAATACAGAACCCCATCGATGCATATAGTTTCACGCACATAACCATGGATTAAGGGATTGTCGATCTTCCTCCACCTCATATCTCCAGACGCTAATGTCAGAATTCTATGATCGTGACCATATGGAGAAGCCATGTGTTGAAGTGTATATTGTTTCGACTTTTGAATAATAAAGCAGAGTAAGAACAAATGGTTGTAACTTTGTCTTTCTCAATAACTTGAAAAAGTATTACAACTTTAGTTAATTATTATATATACAAATGTGAGTCTCGACCTATATTTATACTAAAGGAAACATTGTGTTGAAGAGACATGACTCTTAATAGAAAAGACACAACCTGAAACAGAGTATTTGTGTCTCTTGATCAAGTAACTAACTAATGTGAATATAACTAGCTTATACGAGATTTTGATTATAGTTCAACACCATGGACAGTATCTTGATTTGCCTGTCGATCGGATCAAGCCCTATTGAAGTTAAACTTGATTTTGGGTTAAGCTTAATTTTGGGTTTATAAAATAATTATTAGTTATTAGATTAGGCCCAAAATTAAGCTCAAGTTCTAGAATCTCTAGAAACATCACTAAAAATCATCATCTTTCTTAAATGTTCTAGAGAATTCTATTAGTTAAATATCTAGATAATTCTATAGATAATTCTAGATGTTGTAGTTAAAATTCTAGATATTATTGTAGAAAATTCTAGAGATTAGGAGAATGTTTGTAAGATATTTTGTAATAAGTGGAGCCTATAAATAGCCCACTACTCCATCATTTGTAAACAAGAGAAGTTGAACAAATAAAGAAAGAGTGTTCTTCATAAGTTCTCTTATTCTCTCTAAAGTTCCTTCAAGTTTTCTCTAAGTATTCTTTCATCTTATTATTCATACTTAGAGGGTCTTTGTTTCTTTCGGATCTCTCGGGTATTACGGTCTTGGGCTAGTGCTTGGCACTATCGGTGTTTTCTTTACATGGTATCAGAGCCATTCTGATCTGGTTCTTTTTCAAGATCGGATTAATTGAAATCTCAGATTTACTCTAAGTATGGAGTCAATGGGTCGCGTTGTTGGGTTGGGAATGGAGATTCTAAACCAATCCAATTACCGGTTATGGAAGTCATGCATGGAGTCATACTTGGTGAGTGAGGACTTATGGGATGTCGTCGGCGGCAGTAGCACAACACCACCAAGGGGAGCTGCTGCGACAGCGGAAGCGACAAAGGAGTGGACACGGAAGAATGCCAAGGCGGAGTTTGCATTGAAAAGGTCAATATCCTCGGGAGTCTTTGAGCATGTCTCAAGTTGCACATCCGCTAGTTCCATTTGGCAGGCGTTAGATCAGTTGTTCAACAAGAAGAATGAAGCTCGGCTACAACTGTTAGAGAACGAGTTGGCGAATGCAAAGCAGGGGGAGTCTTCAATCTCAGAGTTTTTCATCAAGGTAAAGAATCTTCGCTCAGAGATTAATACTCTAAATCCGGAGGAGTCAATTTCCGAAGCACGTTTAAAACGGTATATTATTCGAGGTCTACGACCTGAGTATACACCGTTTGTGACTTCGGTTCAAGGATGGGCTACACAACCTTCCTTGGAGGAGTTCGAGAACCTGCTAGCTTCGCAAGAGTCATTAGCTACGCAAATAGCAGGAGTCAAAATCCATGATGACTCGGGGAGCGCCTTTGTAGCTCGGAAGCAACACAACTTCAAAGCCAAATCCAAATACGATGGTGCAAAGAACATCGATGGACCGGAAGGATCTTCTACTGGAGATAAGAAGCGATTCAAGTGCTACCGGTGTGGAAAGCTTGGGCACTTCAAAAAGGATTGTCGAGTCAAGCTGAAGGAGACAAATATGGCAGAATCAAAAGGTCATATTGAAGACGAAGAATGGGGGAAATGCTTCAC